ACAAAACATAAGTATAACCTACATTTAAACTTTGTGTTGGCTTATGTACAAGAGTAACTCCTGCTAAAATTTCTCAATTTTTTTTTATTGACTACCTCCCTTGCCTATAAACCCGGATAATTAAAATTTTATGGTATGCTTAAAGTATTTTTTCTTATACAATTGTTGTGTCTATTTGAACTATTTCAAAATGAAAATAAAACACAATAATCGCCGTGTTTGATATTGTTAAATTAATCTCCTTTAATTTTGACCTTCACGACGTTTCTAATCTGATGCTTCCCTCCCCTTATAACAAGCATCACACCCTCACACAACATGTGATATTCTGTGGCACAAGGCCAGATTTCCCTCCCACATTCAGTCAAATACACAAAAAATTACATTTAATTTTTTTAAAAACCTCGCTACCACAACCCCGTGAAGCAACGTTGTCGGGTGGTACAGCTTACTGCTAGCTCGAAGTTCCCGAACAAATTTGTTTCCCATGACTACAGAACGCCCGTCAGTCCACTCAACGAGAAACTCTACTTTATCTGCACTGTGGATCTTTAGGTGTGAAAGTGGACCTTTACTTACTTTACTTAGCACTTTCTTCAGCACCATTTATTTGCTATATATAAACTAACTTGTTTTAACTTGTTCTTCTAAACTTAGCTACAACTTACACACACAATATCCAACTTGATTTAGGACAAAAAAAATTAGATGCATTTTTATGTTTATTTTCACCAACTTAAGTATGTCTAACCTAGTTAGAAATGTTAGATGTAGATCTAGAGGCCAAGACATTAACATTTGATTATCAATTAGAGTAAATGTACACAATCATATTTTCATGTCGTTATTTACAATTCACTATCAAATTTATAAGAGGATTTAAAAAAAAAAATTAACAGTTAAAATAAAAAACCAATAATGTGAACATTAAATAGACACTTTATTTAGACAAATATGTAAAATGATATTTATTATTTAAATATTACTAGACTACCCGTTATCTAGTTAGATAACTGTGGGTTTCGGGGGTCATCCATAAATGACATCACGTCTGTCACTTATAATCACAAAAAACCAGACCCCACATTCAATAAAATACTTAAAAAAAACTTTTTAAAAAACCACGTTTTTCTTGTGGACTAAAAAGTAGAAAATAAATTTTCATACATTTGATGACAAAAAACGTGGGTACGTTCACCATCAAATTTCCCGACCCATCTGCCCGACCCACGTTTTTTGTCATCAAATGTATGAAAATTTATTTTCTACTTTTTAGTCCACAAGAAAAACGTGGTTTTTTAAAAAGTTTTTTTTAAGTATTTTATTTTCTCCTTTTTAGTCCGTTGCTATTTTCTACTTTATCTAATGACTTGATTAAGTATGAATTGACTAAATGTTTATAAATACACGGACTAAAAAAATCTTGAGCGCCCAGGATTCGAACCTGGGTTGTCGCGGCCACAACGCGAAGTACTAACCACTATACGATCACGGCCAGCGCGCTCACATCGATTGGGGCCGAAGTAACTGTGTCAACAAGCCTCCAGTCTTGTCGGTATCTTTAGAAATCATGTCCTCAATTTTATGGTCCTTTGGGCGTAATTAAATTAAGCTAATTACGGTCTCTAATTGCTAGTTTTTATGATTGCATCTGAAATTGTTAGGCGAAAGTAACCTGCATGCCAAATTTCAGATCTATAGAGCAATCAGAAGTGGGCTAATTTTCGATGTCAATTTTAACAACAAACACATCCACGCGAAGCTGAGTTAATAAAAACGTGTTAAAAAGATGTTTTTATCTTTTAAAAACACCGAAAACACCGATTTCGTACTATCCCTTCATATACTGACGTCACAGGTGATCTACTCAACTCTACTTTACCTGCCCAGTGTCCCGCCAAGTCTCATACAACATGCTTTTATCGTTTAAAAAAAAACGATTCCAGCCGAGCATGTCTCTGACCACACTATCCCTTCATATGCTTAGGACAAAGAAACAGATGAACTCTACTTCACCTGCCGTGTATCGCGCCACGTTCAGATAGGCAACGTTATCATTCACATCTAAAAAATATATAAAAAATTGGAAAAAAAATTAACATTGACGTATTGGTCTAGAACAGGTGCCACCCGCATGAATGCAGATTACACTAACAACTAAGCTATTTAACTCGTGACGTCACTGAGGGTTTTTTATACTATAGTTTAATACTTTGAGTCTTCTTATGCAACTTGATTTACGCGCATAGATCTAGATCTAAGTCTAGTAGTAGTAGCTTTCAAATTAAATTTTATCTTAAATTAGCCAATTACATAGCTAAATGAACAAAGATTTATATAAAATAATGAAGGTCTGAAATTATCTAGATCTAGATAGAATTATCTAGATCTAGATTCTACGACTCATTTGCTTAAGTCTTAAGTCTAGTTTTTGCGTAACTCTTGCTAGATCTAGAATATTCTAGAATCTAGATCTAATCATTAGACCTATTCTAGCTAGATAGATCTAGATCTAGATAGATAAATCACAAAGATTTGTATCAAGTATTTAATGACTAAAAATGTATTATGATTATAAAATGGATTGTATTTTATCTAATTAAGCTTTATTCTGCCGCGTAATCTTTGGTTTGACCTAGATTCTAGATCTAGATCTATAAATAACTTTCTTGGCCACCTGATAATTTTAGATCTATAAATAACTTTCTTGGACGGATTGTAGAGCTAGAGAAATTTATTGTAAAACTAAATGAAAAAGACAGTTGAAAATTTATATAAGTTTTGGAACTTAATAAAAACAGCAAACGGACGTATTGTTAAAGTTATGGCCGGCAGAAAATTAGCTTTAGAACACGTTAAACATTTGAGTGGGCCATGACGGAAGTCGCCATCTTATTGTACTAAAAAGTAAACCAAACTTGTGACGTCTCTATTCAGTCAAGATAAAGCTATTGTTCTAAAACTTTAAAATTAATGTGGTTAATCTACATATGAATAAATCAATAAATTAATTAAATTAATTAATTAACGTCTTTAAATAAATTTGTGGTTAACAGTCTATCTGAAAACAAAAATTGTTCTCTACCTACATGCTATTTTACAGCTCTCCACCTAGTGCCGATTTTCTCCAGTATTCAAACAGACAAACAAACAAATAAATATTCAAACATGTAAACAAACTTTAGTTTTAGTAGTATACTAGATTACACGTTATCTATTTAGATAACTGTGGGTTTCGGGGGGTCATCCATAAATGACATCACGTCTGCCAGCACTTATCATCCCAAAATAACCAGACCCCACATTCAAAAAGACGTTTTTTTATAATTTTAAAAACTCTACTAAACTCTACTTCACCTGCCCAGTGCACCGCCAAGTCTCAGACATGTTTGTATTTAAATAAAAAACGATTCCGGTCGAGGATGGGTCTGACCACACTATCCCTTCATATGCTGAGAACATAGAAACAGGTGAACTCTTCTTCACCTGCCCTGTGCCCCGCGAGGTCCTGATAGTCAACTTTATCATTAACATATAGATCTAGGCCTTAAGAAAAAATAAATGAAAACATTGTTGAAAAAAAAATTTCATTTTACTATTACTAAACTCATTGTTCTAAACTTTTATAATTAATATGGTTAATCTACCAATGAATATATCAATAAATTAATTAACGGCTTGTAATTAACAGTGTTTTTAAGAAAGAACAATATTTACCATCAAAAATCCTATTTTACAGCTCTTCACATAATGCAGATTCTCCTCAATAACAAATTAAAAAAACAAACAAACAAAAAATGAGTTATCAAACGTCACTATTCAGTCAAAGTTAAGCCATTGTTCTAAACCTTTGAAATTAATGTGGTTAATCTACCTATGAATAATTAAAAAAATCAATTAACGTCTTTAAATAAATGTGTGATTAACAGTCTGTCTGCAATCAAAAATAGTTCTCTACCTACATACTATTTTACAGCCCCCCATACAGAGCAGTTTCTTTACAGTACCAAATCAGACAAACAAACAAATAAATATTCAAACATGTAAATAAACTTGAGTTTTAGTAGTATATAGATAGATAGATTAATAGAAAATTAATACACAAAGCTAGCAATCCATTATAACGTACACCAGCCGTATCGGCTAGGCGTTGCTCTAGCAATTTTTTAGTCTCGTCTAAATTCATATTGCTACCCAAACATGTATACTATTTGTTTAAAGAAAAATGATTCTATAAAAAATAGTAAAGTTCACTTTCAAACCTGACAAGTGAAGTAGAGTTCACTTGTTTCAGTGACCTCGGCATATGAAGAGATAGTGCGGTCAGCAATATGCCCAGCCGCCTTTACTTTCCCTAGCGTGAGTTAGGTATCCATCAGAGTTGAGTAAACTCAGGGACAGTCTACTAACTTACACCCCGATTCGAACACGAGACACGGACTAGCAGTCCAGCTCTGTACAGCTAGACCACTCAGTCCATATAAAACAAAGCAGTGGATAAATCTATGTTCAAAACCTAAACACGTATAGTTTAAGTGATATTAAACAACTTACTTACACATTACCTGACGTTATTTAATTATATAGTTGTTACCAAAATATTTTAGAACATCTAAATAAGTAGCCTCTGAGTCATACCACGATTAAGATATCCCATTGTTACATATTAGATAGAACTATTTAAAACCATGTTTATTTAGTTAAAAGTAGTAATGTGCACGCAATTTGTATCTAAAAAATCTATCTTTAGGTAAAATTATCTGTATTTCTCTCCCAGTAAGCGTACAAAAACAAAATAATGGAGCTTTACTTTTGAGGACACCGGCACTCATAATTCTAACAGTCACTTGTTTAGTTTTTAGTGACATTCTAGGTCGTGTAGTAGATTTGTTTTCTTGTCTTGATGTGAAATAGCCTTCATGTCTTGTGTGAACTAGCCTATGAATCTTGTTTAAACTAGTCTTTACGTCTGTACTTGGATGAACTAGTCTTTAAAAAGGTTAGGCTAGTAATCGAGTTCTCAGCTTCTCCTCGACGTCATACTTGAGTCTCCTCCCCTCGTTCATGACGATGATGTTTTCCTCAGACACCGCCCCAAGGATGTCACGTGGTAAACGATGACGTAACTGGCTGTCAACCATAATCACAATGAGATTAGGATTAGCTGGCGTCAGGTTGGATATGGCTGACCTGCATGTGTAGAGGAACCAATCGTCTTTCGAGAGAAAAGTTTCGTTCACGACCAGAAGCACGCGCCAACTTCTATTTATGGCATCGATAATCCCAGACGCGAGGTCGGTTGAAGGTGAGAGGTCACGGTCTCTAATAAAGGTCGTTAACCCCAGCGTGTCCTCGATAAACTGCCTGAGGTCATGACAAGCGAACTGGTAATCTCTATCAGCATAACCAATGAAGACACCAATCTCGTAGTTGGAAGGTTTCTTTAGAAAGGTTTCACTAAACAAATTCAGCAGCCCAGAAATGATGTACGTTTTATACTTGGTAACAAAAAAACTCAACACAAATCCAATGACAAGTAAACAAAATAAAATCAGAGAATAAGAGAGGAAAATTTTCCCCCAGCATTCACGCCAGTAAGCCTCTAGATCTGATAAAACTGCCGTGTTTGTTATAACTCCGTCGTTGTCAATACAGGAGTAGTTCCTGGTCATGTCTAGTTCCACCGTGGTCATCTGAAGCCAGTGTAAAAACTGGACGCTCGTGCACCCACAAAATAACACATTTCCACCTAGAAACAGCCTCAACCCTCCATTCCCAGCAGCCAACGCGTCCAACTCCCTTCTATCTTTGGCTGAAATCGATATCAATGCATTAGAGGTCAAGTCCAGCCATTTTAAACGTGGCGTGTTTGTTAAGTCAAATGGAATCGCTCTAAACCTGTTTCCAGACAGGCGAATCTCAAAGAGTTTTGGATTAGAGCTGAAGGTACGAGAACTTAACGAGTTTAAAAAATTGTACGACATATCTAATTGCTGCAAATTTTGTAAGTTGAGAAACAGACGCTCGCTGTAAGATGACATATACTCGCTGTTTAAACTACACCCCGATAAGTCGAGAGCCTGCAAGCTGGGTATCGTGTCAAAAAATTGTGGGTTCAGTTGAGACAGGTCGTTGCCAGAAAGTAGGAGTGTCCTGAGTCCCGTCAAGCCTCTGATTCGCCCGGTAAACTCCGTCAACCCACCGTCAGATACATCTACATGCAATATATTTTCCCCGCCGATAAATGAAACATTAAAATCAGCAAAGAAAAGCATGAAAAGCCTTGAAAGATACAGATATTTCATTGATTTAGAGACGTATATATTCAGCTCGTTGGCTTGACGTATTAGTTCTACTTTATAAGGAAATTGTTGCTTAGAGGAAATATACCATATAGATTCGCTGACTTGAGCTTTTGTGGTTGTCTTTCCTACTTCATAACTGCTGGTGTCTGTAAATAAAGGGTCTTGGTTTGCTTCGGGAAAATAGTTGTTACTTGTTATAAAGTCTGAGTTATTAGTTTCTAACACATGTTCAAGTGTAATTGATTGAGCTTCGTTAATTCGTGCTGTATTACATCCACTGTGTTTGCTCGAGTTATCGGATGCTATGCTTAGTGCAGATAAAAAGCCGCGACGAAAAGAGTTTAATTTGAAATTGTCACGAAAAAAAAACTTCTCCAGATTTCTCATATTAACCACCTGAAAGAATACGCTGAAAGTGCCTATGATTGCATTGTCGGTAAAGTCAATGCTCTTAAGGCACTTGTTCCATGCATCACTTGTCAGAGCGTTAAGGTGAACTATAATTATACGACAGCTTCTTAAAACTAAATGAGTTACACAAATTTGCCTCAAATATATCGTGGAGTTGGGTGTTAGGATTCCTTTTGCGGGAAGAAGGCTTGAATACTGCTCACCTAGTGTTACCCAAATATCTTCCAGTAGTATATACTCCATACTTCGGTTTACCCAGCATTGAAAGGAATCAAGCACTTGATGAAGGTGTGCCTGCACGCTGCGCATATAAATGTGTTGAAGGTTGATCAGTGGCCAGAAAGCTGAAGAATTGAAATATTGCAGTGATTGAAATTCTTTCAGGTAAAGAACTCTAACCTGACTCAAATTTTCGAAACTTAAATTTGTTATTTTTTTTGACCCCCCTGTCACTTGCAATGCAGCCAACTTTTCCAGTTTGTTGAACTGCACACCGAAGTATAAAATTTCACCAACCGAAGATATGGTCAAAGACTCTAAATTTTTCACATCAGAGAGGAACTCATAACCATCATGTCTCCGATACCTTAAATCTCCATCCTGTCGTATAGACAATACAGCCAAATTTTTAAAACGGTCGAAAGTTTTGCTAGGAATGGATGTTAGATCTAATCCATTGGAATCCAGATTTAAATACTCTAAGTGTTCTAACCCACGGAACGTGTCTACATCAAGTTCTTCGATTTGATTGTAAGATAGGCTGAGACGTCTAAGACGGTGTAAAAGGTACAAGTTTACAGGAACAGAGGTCAGCATGTTGTTGTCTAATAAAATAGACGTTGTATTTTCTGGAAACCATGAGCTGCTAACTTGCGTTAAAGAACGAACTTGACAGTCAACGATCAATTCGTCCTTGTCTGTAACAATATTACAAGGTGAAGGACTGGCCATAACACCTGGTGACAAATTGCTGTAGTCAAGTGGTGACTGAATGTTGGAGTCATGTGGTGACTGAATGTTGGAGTCAAGTGTTGACTGAATGTTGAAGTCATGTGTTGACTGAATGTTGGAGTCAAGTGTTGACTGAATGTTGGAGTCAATTGTTGACTGAATGTTGGAGTCAAGTGTTGACTGACGCCAGGTGTCAATTATATGACTCAGCGTCTGATGACCAGGTATTTGATCGTCTGCTAGGAAACTCCGACAAATCACGTGATGGACGTTGAGGCTTACCATGAAGCAGCAGACAAAAAGGACCACTGGACACTTACACGGTGGTTTGGCTCTTGGTATCATATCCGTCGGTCGATTTGTGGTGTATGTTCACTAAAAGGCATGCCTGAATGACCAAAAGACCATCTCCATCTAGAAAAAGTATTACCTTTTAAGCAATGAATAATAAAGTATTGTTAAGTTCATTTAATTTGTATCGGTTCGTTAAAAAATGAATTAACAACATCGGAATATGATATTTACTGTATCAATCTGCTGATAACGTAATTCTAAAAAAAAAAAAAAAAAAATTAAATTCTTCAAAATAGAATAATTGGTAATATGTGAGGGGAAGTAGTATATCGGAGCTATTAATGTATTGTGCTGTGTGTTGTGGGTGGAGAAATGTGTGTAAGGGAGTTGCATGTATTCTGTGAACATTAATTTAATAAGGCCTAAATGACTTCATGTTTTGTGTTCAGAGAGTGCTGACTGTATTTATAGTTCTTGTAAGTAGGTCATCAAATTATCGTACACGGGCCTTGCGGTTGTGTAACCGGTGGCTCCGCGAACGCCATGGTACGTCGATTACACCTGGGCTGTCCCGGAAGTGTGTTCTACCTCACAATCATAAAGTGTGATTAGCAGACACTCAAAGCTTTCATACAACAGGCCTGCGTGCTGGGCGGTACTGTGTGGGGGGGGGGGGGGGGGAACCCGGTACCGACGAATATGATCTATGAAATAAAACGCAGGCATTATTAAAGTTTAAATAACCCAGTGTTAGAAAGAATGTGTCGAAGAATGTAGGATTAGTAACGCAATGATAAAACACTCAGACGTTTTTCAACACTTTAGGATATATATATATAAATATATATATATATATATATATATATATATATATATATATATATATATATATATATATATATATATATATATATATATGATAATATGTATACATACATAATAAAGGTTTGGAGTTTGCAAACTATTAAAAAATATTTCTGTTTCTCTATAAGTCAATATGCCATTTTGATCAGTTTTGACAGCGTTACCGAATTTTATGGAATTCAAACGCGTTTTTCTACGACCTCATAAAATATCAAATGGCGTCATTAGGCAAAAGTTTTTTTTTTATATATAGATCATATAAAGCGAATTTGTTTCTTATCAATGGAAATTATTTTTACAACAAATTAGTCGAAATTTATATATCTTTCTGGCTAACAAAATTTCAAATTTTAAGCGAGAGAAAACGTAGGCGATAGAAATTGAACGAAAAACTATTCAATATGCTTTTAAATATTTTAATTCACTTAAAATAAAATAAAAAAGTTGTACTTACATGTCTTAACCCTACACAGCTTGTTTTTTGTCTTCACTTATTTATATAAAGCCTGTATTACGTAATACAATTTCGACTTGCCTGTGCTGTCTGTGGCGTACAAAGCTAGTGGTGAGATATTTACAGAAACATTCAGTAAAATGAATGAGAAATTAGCGAAATTTTATTCTCAACTTATTATGTTCCCTCTTACTCTACGTGTAGATCACAACTTCTAAACGTCACGGCTCTTACATTGGCAAAGACTGAAGGGGATTTTTTGGTTTATTGTAACAGGATATGGCGTGGTAAAAGAAGTAATTTTAAACGTTATGCTTGGCTGGGTGCTAGGATATATATATATATATATATATATATATATATATATATATATATATATATATATATATATATATATATATATATGTGTGTGTGTGTGTTTAATCAAATATATTGACATTTGCAGAAGGGTAGCTGCGGGGGAGGGGGGGGAGCTAGGAGAGCGATGGCCGTACTGGGCGTCAATTCTAGGGGCGGGGGCGTCAAAAGGGGTAGAAAAAAAATAACTAAAAATAACTAAAAGCTAACTTTAAGCTGCAACATAGAATAATTTACTTTCAAAGAAAATAAAATGTTCAAAGGCTTATGGTAGTTTAGCATTTAAAATGGGTCTAGGACAACCCCACCCCCTCACCGTCAATTACACACCTGAATTTTCTTTAAAGCTTTAAACTCTTGTGCATTTTTATAACTAATTTTAACATACATTAGATAAATAAGTCAAAATGTAACCTCGGATACATGACCTCTGAATTTTTACACTGACTGAATTTAAGCTGTTGTTTAATGTCGGTAAAAGTATAATAAAATGTGATCAATATAATTCATGTTGATTTGCTCAGTAAATCTTGCTATTTATATAAATATAAATATTGCTATTTAAAATAGCATTAACATTTTGAGAGGAATTGTGGATTGAGAGATATGATACTATTTTAGGTGTTGGGGTGTGGCTTTTGGTAATGATGTTGAACGTTAGGGAGGTTGGTAGGGAATAAAAATGTTTTTAAAATCCTAAAGTCCATTAAAGAATGGATTATAAAGTTAGTGTCATTATATCTTGCTCTATGTGCCTGAATGCAATTCAGAAAATAACAGTTCGTCAAGATCCCGATTTAAAGCTCATAATCATAATAATTGCTGCACTAGAGATTGGGACCTTTATGTATCTAATTAATTTCTGGTTTATGATTTAAGAAAACATCAATGTGAAGAAAATTTCTAGCTGCCTATAAGCAATCTGTTAAAAAAAAAAAAAACCAGTGCTATTTACCGCCTAAACACCACGTATTAAGAAAGTCATTTTTAAGAGGGACCCCATCAGGACATTACTCTCCAATAGGGTTACTGCTAATAGGTCCCACAACTTAATGGCTCCAGGCTGTTTGTTTTACGACAATTGTCTAAAACTCATATGTGTTCCGGCCAAATATTGTCCCTAAGCCTTCCACAAAAAGGCTATCAACTTAAGCGATCCTCCATCTTTAGATAATGCCAATAATGACAACTTTCTGAAGGTTGTAGGAAGAATATACATATATCAACCACGCACATAAAATTATGAAATAACAATTTTTACTTTACATTTTAGTTATGAGCCAACCTAATCGGCTTCTACACCCCACCCCTACCGCCAAATTATTTCCATCGATGCTTAGGACACATGTGTGCTACATCTTGTTAAGTCGGATAGTAGAAATAAATGTTATAAAAAATTATTGGGAATAACTGACACTTTTTAAACCGGTTCTGTATAATATTTAATTATGTCTTTGCTGTTATTTTATATATATAACCATGGTTTAATTAAAGTTATAACAACAATCAGTGACATGAGCTTTAAAAATGTATTTTATAAAACCAAAACAGGGTTTACATCCACTAATTATTAATGAAAAAAATTAACAAAGTTTACACTGACTGCTTACTCCTGTTTCGATGCCGATAAGGCCACTGGAAATATTTTATAAGAATTTGTCTTCAATTGAACACTTTAATTTTTAAACTGTGTTTACAGCCAAACAGTCATTCGCCTATAAATTCATAATTAAATTTATAGGATAAAGGTATATCAATTTTACGAGCTGTTGAAGATTTTAACCTTGGATGTCATTAAATGTTATATTTTATCATAACAAAATATTGTAATTTCAATTTACTTTATAAAAATATACCCATCACAATCTCTTTCAATTTGCCTGTCCCATTTATCATACAGCTGTCTCGCACTAACTTAATGACTTGAATTTTGTGTCATATAATCCGACATCGCATCAACATGGTGACTTGAATTTTTTGTCGTATAATCCGACATGTATTTGTAGAAATTCAATAGGACCCCTGGAATAGGACCAATTTATTAATGCACTTACGAAGAAATAGATTGGAGGTTATAAAAGATGACGTCATATTTTACAAAGCTTATGTATAACCTACATTTAAAATTGTGTGTTGGCTTATATACAAGAGTAACTCCTTCTAAAATTTCTCAAATGTTTTCTATTGATTAACTCCCTTGCTTATAAACCCGGATACTTAAGAATTTATCGTATCCTTAAAGTATTTTTTTCTTATACAATTGTTTTGTCTATTTGAACTATATTTCAAAATGGAAAATAAAGCAAAATATTTGCCGTGTTTGATTTTGTTAATTAATTTCCTTTAATTATGACCGTCACGACGTTTCTAATTTGATGCTTCCCTCTCCTTATAACAAGTATCACACCCTCACACAACATGTGATATTCTGTGGCACATGGCCAGATTTCCTTCCCACTGTGACCTACTGAGGTCTTTTTCTTTATTTATACTATTTAGTCTCCTGAGTTTTGTGATTGACCTTGGGAGAGTTGTTAGTTCACCGGTTCTCATCGGTCAACTGAACTCCGTCACGTCATGTGATTGGATTGTTTAATCCCTAGCAGATCCTCGACCAATAATCTTGCGACCGTGAGGATCCTTAACAGATCCTCAACCAATAGTCGTAAGACTTTTAAGTAATCTCCCCTAATACTGAGAGGTATTTAATCTCTTGCAGTTCAAGTCTAAAGGCAGCTAGATTGACCTTTGGACTAGGAGAGAGATGTGCCGAATGTTTTGTGCGCCATTTTCAGTTGTGTAGTTTGTGGCATATTTTATCACCTTATATAAGATATTGTGTGACCATTTTTAGTATTACTGATATTTTGTTCTGGTGTAAAATTGCACCCTTTGTCACATCGGTGATAGGTTGACTTTTTATTTGGGTTTCTATTGTTGTAGAGGCAATATGTCTCTTATTAATATTTGTGGTATTTATAATGCCATTCAGTTGTGTCAAGTAATGTTCTTTAATGGTGTTTAATATACTAATCCACATCTGTGATATATAGTGATTTTCGTTAACTGTAAGTTGGAGTTTTGAGTTTATTTATTGTCCTCTTAAAGTCTGCGCATTTTGTACAGACCCAGTGTCGTAGTTTCTTGTACACTCATTAAAAGGGTATTGACAGTTTTAAGTCGTGTTGAGTCTCTTCAATTTGTCGTGCTTTACCCCTAGAGCTCACGTCAAGTTGTTGGGATTTCATTAGTGTGACTTCTGTCAGTGCCATCCCAAACGAACCCGGGGTGTCCGCTCCCTCCGCGGCTGTCGGAGAGCGGTCATCACACCACATTCAGTCAAATACACAAAAATATTACATTTAATTTAAAAACA